CCCTGGTCGGCCATGTGGGAGTGTCCAGCACCTTAATCACCATGCCACCTGCTGGTCCCTACCTACATTTTAGAAGACAGCCTGGAGATGTCTTACAAAGCTAAACATACTCTAACAATATGATCTAGCAATCGTGTTCCTTGATATTCACCAAAATGCATTGAAAACTTATTTCCACACAAAAATCTGTACACAGATGTTTACTGCAGCTTTACTTATTAATTGCCAAAAATGGAAGCAACAAAAATACCCTTAAAAAGGTAAATGAATGAACAAACTGTGGCACACTCATACAACTGAACAATATTCAGCAATAAAAACAAATGAGCTATCAAGCCATTAAATAGAACATTAATGTACTGAGTCATTGGGAAAGTTATGATGCGTTTTTGCATAGAAAAATATGTCTTGGGGGCCAGCAGGTGGCGTGGTAGTTGGGGCAGCTGGATTCCTATATGGTCGACCACAGTTCAAGTCCTGGATTTGGTGGCTTGCTTTCCCACTTTCCTTCTCTTTCTCTCTCTCTAGAGAGCAAATTAAAAAATAATAATAAATGAAATTAAATAATTTTTTTTTTTAAGAAAAATATGGGGACCAGCAGGTAGCATGGTAGTTAAAGATACTCCAACATGGCCAACCACAGTTCAAGTCCTGGACCTAGTGGCTTGCTTTCCCTCTCTCTCTGCCTCTCTCTAGTAAAATTAAAATGAATGAATGGGGGTCCTTATTGCCAAGATGGCGCCAAAAACGAAGAAGGAAGCTCCTGCCCCTCCCAAAGCTGAAGCTAAAGGGAAGGCTTTGAAGGCCAAGAAGGCAGTGCTGAAAGGCATCCACAGCCATGAAAAAAAGAAGATCCGTACATCACCCACCTTCCAGAGGCCCAAGACTCTTAGGCTGCGGAGGCAGCCAAAATATCCTAGGAAGAGCGCCCCCAGGAGAAACAAGCTTGACCACAATGCCATCATCAAGTTCCCCCTGACAACCGAGTGCCATGAAGAAGATAGAGGACAACAATACACTTGTGTTCATTGTGAATGTCAAGGCCAACAAGCACCAGGTCAAACAGGCTGTGAAGAAGCTCTATGATATTGATGTGGCCAAGGTCAACACTTTAATCAGGCCTGATGGAGAGAAGAAGGTATATGTGCAACTGGCTCCCGATTATGATGCTTTGGATGTTGCCAACCAAATTGGGATCATCTCAAGCAAGTCCAGCTGGGTAATTCTAAATACACATTTTTTCACCATTAAAAAAGAAAAAAAAAAGAATGAATAAAAATTAAATAATTATTTTTAAAAATAAAGAAAATAAAAATGTCATGACTTTCCTAATGACCCAATATATTACTAAGTAAAAGAAGCCAATATGAAAAAGCCACATATTGTATAAGATTCCAACTATATGATATTCTAGTAATGGCTAAACTATGAAGACAATAAAAAGATCACTGACTGGGGGCCAGCAGGTGGAGTTGTGGTTAAAGCACTGGACTCCCACATGGCCTACCGTGGTTGAGTTCCAGACCTGGCAGCTTGCTTTCTCACTCTCTTTCTCTCTCTCTCTCCTCTCTCTCCTTCTCTCTGTGTCATTCTAGAATAAGCAAATAAAGTTAAATAAAAATAATTATCAAAAACAAACAAAAGATCCTGATAGGGTTACTATCTCTCTTTCTCTTGGTCTCTTTTTCTCTGAGTCTCTCTCTCTCATGGGAAAATATATACACTTTTTTTAAAAGGCTTTAAAAAACAAGAAGGAAAAAGAGGAGGATAAGGAAAAGTTGCATAAGAAAGAAGAGGAGAAAAAAATAAAGACAACAAAGAAGGGTGGGAGAAAAATATCTCAAACACCCAACATTAAAAAAGGACAGAGATATGGACTGGCAGGTGGCGTGGTAGTTAAAGGTGCTAGACTCCCACATGGCCGACCATGGTTCAAGTCTCATACCTGGTGGCTTGCTTTCTCACCTCCTCCCGCTCCATCTCTCTATAATCAAACTAGAAAATAATAATAATAATAAATAAAATGAAGCTTTTTTAAAAGGACAGATGTCTGAAACCAGCAGTTGGCATAATGGCTGTGTCACTGGACTCCCATGTAGTGGGCCACAGTTCCAGTCCCAGACCCAATGGCTTAAACTCAAGAAGGAATTACAGTGTGGCCATCCCCCCTGAGGGGGAATTTCTCACTTTCTATCTCTATGTCTCTCTCTATCTTTCTGGCAAGCACAAGAGCCCTATAGCAAAAACCTCTCAAAAAATAAATAAATAAATAAGCATATTAGCTGCTTCTCATACTTAAACCTTTCGTACTTACCACTGACCACCCAACTTTCCCCTTCAACTCAGCTTCCACCCTAGGAGCCCTCTCAGCTCCTAAGGCCCATTTCTCACTATTAAAGCCACAGTCAAAAACGGTTGATGAGATCTATAGAGATACAATCTGGTACTTACTGTGCCTTTTTTTTTTAATTTAACTTTATTTACTTATTCATTCATTTTATTTTAATTTGACCAGAGAGGGACAGAGAGAGAAAAAGTGAGAAAGCATGCTGCCAGGGCTGGGACTCAAACTGCAGTCAGCCATGTGGGAGTCCAGCGCCTTTAGCCACCATGTCACCTGCCAGCCCTGCTTACTGTGCTTCTAAGGAGGCACCATAGATGACAAGTTAGAAGAAACAAAAGGTTTCGTGTAAAAGTAGCAAGGATCTGACAATTGTGGGTAGGTAAGAGCTTTGAGGAAGAGGTAAAAAATACTTCATTTTCCTTCTAGAATGAGTAGGTTTAACAGGATAGGGAAAAAAAAAGAAGAAAGCAAGACAAGATTCAGAACAGAAGCTTTGGTTAGAAACAGTGGCATTTGAGCATGAGCATTCCTATAGGAACTTAAGTGCAATGGGAAGGGGAGGAACAGAGTACAAAGTAAACTGCAATGAGGGATCCCTGACAACTTACCACTCGAAGTAAAAGGAACAAAAGAAGCTTGAGGATGGAAGGCAAAGGGGATATTCTTTAGGCTACAGTAATCAGATAAAATCAAGCTCCAGAAGTTGAGGCTATTAAAATTCATATTTTGAGACCAGCAGTTGGTGTAATGGCTATGTCGCTGAACTCTCATGTAGGTGACCGTGGTTTGAGTCTCAGACCCGGTGGCTTAAATTCACACTGGGCACATGTGCGTGCATGCCCAGCTCCCAAGAGGCGAATGGAGGAGAAGGGACCGCGGCATAGCCATCCCCTCTGGGGGATGATTTCTCGCTGTCTGTCTCTCTCTGGCTTCCTGGCGAGCACAAGCACCCTATGGCAAAAATCTCTCCAAAAAAAGAAAAAAAAAAAAAAAAAAACAACCATATTTTAAGATACTGCCTGCAAAACACGTCACCTGCCCACAGGAATTCTTACCGTATACACCGCCAGCAAAGCCAACTGGTTATAGGGGCGCCCATTCTTGGGAGCAATGTGCTGGGCCTTCAGGTACCAACTAGAATAGAAAAACAGTAAGAAAATGCTAGCTCCATACAACTCTTTCTGCATTCATCCTGACAGTCTTACTATTCAAGATATAAGCCAGAGTGCTATATAAAACCCAGGAGTGATAAAGCATGAATATGAGACCAACAGGGATACCCACAGAGCATCTATATGGGAGGTAGTTCAAGTGGCCCATTGTTCTTAATGGAGCTTGGCTCAAAGCCACAGGGAAGAGAAATACCAAACTAGAGGTATAAGTACCTGCGTGCTTTCCCATAGTTTGCTGTATCATTGGCTTGCTCCCGATACCTAGCGATATCTCCTTGGCAAATCATACACCGCTGGGCACTGATCAAGGCATACTTTACCTTTAGGATAAACAATCAGTTAGTACCAAAGAAATGCATCAACCTCAAAGGACAGGGATGGAGTCAAAATGACAGAGCAACACTGACAAGGCACTAGAATTCCTTAACAAAGTATGAAGTTGTCAGATAAATTTTGACTACCAAAAGACAGCCAAAGTGTGCGGTCAGCAGGTACCATAGTGATTAAAGTGCTAGACTTCCACATGGTTGACCACGATTCAAGTCCCAGACCCAGAGGCCTGAAACTCATACCAGGCACATGTACGTGCATGCCAAAAATCCCAAGGAGAATGGAGGAGAAGGAACTGTGGTATGGCCATCCACCCCAGGGGTAATTTCTCACTTTTTCTCTCACTGTCTCTATCCCTTTCTCTCTCTGGCGAGTACACGTGCTCTAAGGCAAAAAGCTTTCAAAACTAACTAACTAGGGACCAGCAGTAGGCGTAATGGCTATGTTGTTGGACTCCCATGTAGTCGACCGCAGTTTGAGGCCCGGTCCTGGTGGCTTAAACTCACGCTGGGTGTGTGTGTGTGTGCGTGCGTGCCCAAGGTCACGAGAGGAGAATGGAGGAGAAGGGATTGCGGAGTGGCCATCCCCCCTGGGGGTGATTTCTCACTTTCTGTCTTTCTGTCTTTCTCTGTCTTTCTGGCGAACGCACGTGCCCTATAGCAAAAACCTCTCAATAAATAAATAAATAAATAAAATAATAATAAAATAAAATTAATAATTCTTAGAAAAAAAGAAAACATAAAACTAGGAGTAGTGTAGGACCTCAAGGAGTCTTTTATTTTTCTTTTTAGAATTATTTTGCTTAACTTTATTAATTTTTTTTTAAATTTGACCAGAGAGGGACAGAGAGAGTGAGAGAGAGTGGAGAGAGAGCAAGAGAGTGAGAGCAAAAAAGCAAGCCACCAGGTCCAGGATTCGAACCACAGTTGGCAATGTGAGAGTCCAGTGCCCTTAACCACCATGCCACCTGCTGGCCCCTCAAGGAGTCTTCAGGGTGTTTTACGACTCAGTTTCTTTACCTGAAGGTAAAAACAAAATAAAACAAAAACAAAACTACTCTATAGAAGAACTGGAGGAAATAAAAGTGAAAATATTTTACAAACCACAAAATGATATCCAGATATTGGGACCAGCAGATGGCATAATGGCTACGTTGCTGGACTCCCATGTAATCAACCGTGGTTCGAGTCCCAGACCTGGTGGCTTAAACTCACGCTGGGTATGTGTGCTCGCATGCTCAAGATCCCCAGAGAAGAATGGAAGAGAAGGGACTGCAGTGTGGTCATTCTCCCAGGGGTAACTTCTCACTTTCTGTCTCTCTGTCTCTCTCTGGCTTTCTGGCAAGCGCACGTACCCTATAGCAAAAATCTCTCCAAAAACAAAAAGATATCCAGATATTAAGACAACTATTACCTACTCCGTTCTTTTCCTGCTATCATTATAGTCCTTCCCTAAACTGTTAATGTGACTGAACTATGTCCCTGGCATTACATTCTCTTTACCTAAAACAATAAATTGCCCTTTCTAAACACCTACAACATGCAGGAGCTATACAGTACTAGAAATACTATGTGTTCTCATTTACAGGGTTGGTATCTGTCACTCACTGAGAAAGTATTTGTTAACAACCCCAAGACATGTATCCAACCAAAAAAATCTTCCAAAGGAACAAAACTTTACAAAATGTAATTCCACCCTACCCCACATAAAAGTTAACACATCACTGAATAGAGCAAAGCTTCACTGAGAAGCAGATACTGACTCCCAGGAAGATTAACTCACTAGCTAAATAGCTAGCTACTACACATCAATCTCCTAGCACTTAACTCAAATTTGTGTCTCTACAAAGTTATATATCACTGTATTCACATGTCCTCAGGGTCTTCACTATACTACATATTCTTTCTATAAGTGAACACTGAGAACCTTGGCTATTTAACTGATAAAGCACAAAGAAAACTGGTTATGCCTTCATACTATAGATATCTCAGTAAGGGAGGAAAAAATAAAGCAAATTCCTTCAAAGTTTCTCTATTTTCCTCAGCATCACTTTCACACTCACCCTCTGTGCTTCAGTCAAACCAGATTTTGTTCAGTCCCCTAATACACCATGATCGTTCCCACTTTGGGACTTTCAAGTATGCTGTTCCCTTGAGGCTGCTAGCACGTCCTTCTTCTCAAGTCTTCACATACAGCTGCACTTGGCTAACGTCTCAGGTCTTCAGTGTCAGCCTATCAGTGATTTCCTCAGTCTCCCATGATTCTCTAAATCAGGTTAGCCTTCTTACTGTATATACTCACAATGCCCTTTGCTAAAGTCACACCTGTAATTACTCATCTAACATTTGCACTCACCCCCCCAAAACCCTAAGCTGCAAGAACCAGGTCATGGCTTTCTTTTGGCACTGAATTGCCTCTTTGTAAAATGACACCTAGCATGTAACAAGGACTCAATAAATAGTTACTGATTAGCAAGAATGCTTGTACAGAGCAATTCTTCAGAAGGAGGTCAAGAAGAAGCCTCTGCTGTAACCCCCTTTCTTCTTACATGAATCTCTATCATCTCTAAATATGTTTGTCTCTCTCACCTTAGGAACAGAAACTTAGGGTCAACAGATGGTGTAGCGGTTACATCACTGGACTGCCACATGGACGACTGCAGTTCGAGTCCTGATCCCAGTGACTTGAAACTCATACCCGGCACATGTGCATGCATGCCTAAGACCCCCAGGAGGAGAATACAGGACAAGGGACTGTGGCATGGTCATCCCCCCTGGGGGGTGATTTCACACTTTCTGTCTATCACTCTCTCTCTCTGTCTCTCTAGCAAACGCATGCACCCTAACAAAAAATCTCTCTAAAATTTCTTAAACTACTCTTTTAGCTTTTAGCTCTCCCTCCCTGCCTTCAAAACAAAGATTCTTTTTTTTTTTTTAATTTCTTTTCTTTTCTTTTTTTCTTTATGACCAGAGGGTATGTATGCTCGCGTGTGCAAGACAGAGACAGAAAGAGGGAGAACAAGAAAGCCTCAGTGGGGCATGTTAACACTGCCATTTTTTCCTGTATTTCTCCATCCTGTTGTGATTTTAAGCACACATATACACCTGGAGTATTTTTCAAGTCTCCAGGATCAAGATTCAAACCACATGGTTGGCCACATGGGCTCCAGCTCCCTTAACCACTGTTCCATGAATGAGCTCCACAGCCAAGATATTTAAAAGACTGGTCCATTTTACACTCACATTATCTTTACTGTCTCGCCTCCCTCCACTACAATCTGATTTTCATCCTCTCCAACTAAAATAATTCTTGATAAAGTCATCTATTCCAATGATCACTTTTTCTTTTTAAGTGAGATTTTTGCTATAGGGCACATGTGCTCACTGGAGAGAAAGAGAGAAAGTGAGAAATCACTCCCTAAGGGGATGGCCATGCCACAATCCCTTCTCTTCCATTCTCTTCTTGGATCTTGGACATGCACCCATGTGCTTGGTGTGAGTTTTAAGCCACTGGGTCCAGGACTCAAACTGAGGTCAACTACGTGGTAGTCCAGCAACATAACCATTATGCTACGTGTTGGTCCTCCAAGTCACTTTTTTTTTTTTTTTTGAGAGGTTTTTGCTACAAGGCGCATATACTCACCAGAAAGACAGAGAGAGAAAGACAGAAAGTGAGAAATCACCTCCCAGGGAGGATAGCCACACCGCAATCCCTTCTTCTCTCAGGATCCTGGACACACACACACCCAGTGTGAGTTTAAGCCACTGGATCCGGGTCTCGAACCACGGTCAACTACATGGGTGTCCAGTGACAAAACCATTACACCATCTGCTGGTCCCCATGTTTTAATAATACTAGCATTTGACAACTCTACAACACATGATAATTTTCCCCACCCCCATTCCAAAATCTGATCCTCTCTCTCTGACCAGCTTTCCTGTACCTCAGCCTCTGCTTCAGCTACATGCCTGACGACTCCTGAATCTGTATTACCAGCCCAGCTCTTTCTCCCCTGAGCTTTAAATAGACCAGAATATTCACTTGTTCATTTTCAAATTCCTGCTAGACACCTCCACCAGAGTTTATCAAAATCTGAATTAATCTCCTTTGCAGTAACTCCCCTAGGCCTCAAACTGAGAGATGATCTATACTCTTCATGCCTCCAATCTTATCCCCTGGGCCAAGTAAGACAGCAATTCAATTCTATTTCTCTTAATCTTTTTAATGTGTTCTCTTTCCCACCTCCACTACCTCTACCTTAGTTTGAGCCTACAATCTAACATCCTACCTCCACTCTTGCCCTGCTCCTATCCAAACTCACCAATATACCAGAGTGACTGGTTCTAAGAAAAAAAATCTATATGATCCATTTGCTGAAATCACTCAATGGTTCCCCAATGCTTTAGAAATTAAGCCCAAATGCTTAGGCCTGGCATATAAAAATTTCTGGTAATCTAATCCTTTCCAAATACATTAGCCTTATCTTCTACAACAACTCCACTACACATTACAAACTCCAGTGTACTGAGCTTCCAGCACTTTCCTAACAACACAATGCCTTGTTGACTCTTAGAATGCCCTGTATCTAAAATGGCCCTCCTATCTTTCAAATTCCTAGTCATGTTTCAACTCAGTTTGACAGTCTGAGAAGCTATCCTTGACCCCAACAAGGTAAGTTAGACCCGCTTTCCCTTCAACACTCTCTAAATCATTACAATAGTATTGATGACATTCCAAGTGTTGGTTTAACCTGTCTTTTCCCACAATGGATTGTATCTTTCATTCTTATATCCTCAACACCCCGCACAGAGCCTAGCATTTAATTAACAATAAAAAGAAATACTTAAAGGATGCATATATTTAAGACAAATACAAAATTTAGCTTACGGTCTTGCGTAATGGCTTGCTACGAATGGCAAGACCATCCATGTAGTCCTCCAATTTGAACTTGTAAGTAACCTGCAGCTTTTGAAGCAAACTATCAAAGAAGTCACTACCCTAAAAAGAGAAAAAAATAAAGAATAGCTGAAATGACCCATTCTGATATCATCTACCCACTAGAAACTGGGGCAAATAACTCACTCACACAGTTCTCTAATGCTCAGACACTCTCAGTAGAGAGGCATACATGGTATTTAGCAGCCATCAACTGAGAAGATGAATTCACAGCATAAGCCTTTATATGGTTAAAGATACGAACACACACATATTCTCTCACTCTCTCCTTCCCACCCCTTTTTTTCTCTCTAGGCCAAAACATTCTGAAAGCTTCAAGTTCAAAACTAATTCCAATTGTAAGGTCTGGTCCCAAGGAAGCAACAGGAATAGGATAGGCCTAAACATCCCCCCACAAAAAGCATAGTGTTTTTTCTCTTGTTAATGTTCTGTCCTAAATACAGTATTTTGGATGGCAAAAACCCATCACAACTACAAGATGCTGAAGCCTTTATCCTGAGGACAAAAAGATAGTTTACCTCATCCAAAAGCTCCAAAAGTCTGTTGCGTATCTGTTCCGGGTTCTCAACATTTGGATCCTTGAGAAGTTGCCTGAACTTCTCAATCACCTGATAGAAAGCATTCTTCCACAGGATCTGATCCACATTCTGATTATCAGAGAACTCAATATCTAATAGAATACAGCGCTCATATAGCTGTAGCAGTTCAGCTCTGGAATAAAATACATGCAACTTCTAGTTCCAAATATACCACAGAAAAGGCTAGACCCAAGATTTGAGCTTCCTGCCAATTAACCACCTCCCTTGGCAAGAAATCCAAAATATGACCAGGTATACTACTCTAGTTTCCATTCTGAAAAGCAGAATGTCATTTTAAAGACAGTTACATCTAGAAAAATAATTTCTCTCCATATGTGTTCACCTAAATTTAACAGCTGAAATAAGAACTTCACTGCAAGTTATATGTTGTTCATTTTTTGGCATTCTGTAAAGTCTTTCATTTTCCATTTCAAGATTCCATGCTGTCTTAAAGACAGTTTCTTTTTTTTTTTTTTTTTTCCCTTAAGGAAAAAGTAGGGAACTAGTTGGTGGCATGGTGGTTAAGGCAGATGCCCCATAGTTGACTGTGTGGTTCAAGTCCTAGGTCTCGTGGCCTGAAAAACACACCAGGTGTGTGCATGCGTGCATATGTGCATGTGTGCCCAAAATAAGGAGAGGAATGGAGAAGAGACTGCTGCATGATCATCTCCTCTGGGGAATGCTTTCTCATTTTCTCTCTCTCGCTCTCTCTCCAGCAAGTGCACATGACCTCTGGAAAATTAAAAACAAAGAAAAAAAAATAGAAAACAAAATAATTTCTAAGACTAGAAACAAAACTTTTGCTGTTTTTTCCCCAATTGCCCGTCCCACACAAAAATCAATGTCTAAAGGAAATAATACCCAGTGGCTCACCTAAAAAGTTTCTACCTTCCCTTCCTTAGTCACAAGAATCTATAACTTTTAGCTTATCCTCACTTTCCTCTAGTCAACATGGAACACGCTATACCTGAGCTGAGCCATCTTCTCCAGGCCCTCAGGACTGATGCGGTCCCTGGAAAGCAGGTTGCTGAGCTGCAGTTCCTGGTTGTCAGCTACCCGGAGAAGCCTATGTAGCTCCTGCTGCTGCATGTTTCTCATGTGCTGCTCCACCTCCTCAGGACTCATGGTGCTGGCCGGGAGAGGGCTACATACATACTGTCCTGATGGAGCTGGGTACCCTGGGTAGTAAGGCCCTGGGTATACACCATTTGTAGGGCCCAGTGGATACTGTAGCGGGCTATAGCCTGTATAAGGATATTGGGAGGTAGGGCCTGGTGTCCGGGGGAAATAATAGGGATTGTCAGAGTTTTGAAATTTATAGTAAGATGCTTGGGCCTGGCGTGAGTCACTCCAAGATGTAGGGCTGACTTCATCATCAGTGTCCAAGAAATGTAATTGGGGTGTTTGGCTCTTTAGAGCGGGTTTCTGATCAGGGTTATTTGGGTCCCACAATCGGCGAGTGGTGCCGCCACGGCCCCAACTCCGAGATCCCTTACTACTAGAGCCAAATAAAAGCCGAGGTCCCAAAGGTGTGGACTCTGGAGAACCTGCTGAATTGACAGATAGGGTGGTATGAGCAGGCAGAATCAGAATGCCACGACCATGGCCCCGGAGTTCTTGTTTCAGGTTTTTGGACTCCTGTTTCTCAGAGCCTTTGCCCCCACAGCTCAAGCCTTTGTCAGGTTTTATCCTGTCCACATCTTCCCTGGCTGACTTCAGAACAGAGCAATCTTTGTTCATAGTTTCTGCATCAAAAGTGACACGAAGAGTACCTCGATTCTCTTTACCATTGCCTTTCTGCTCACCCTCCCCACGGCCAGACCAGTTTCTTTCTGAATGTTTTTTCCTTTCTGAGCTCCTCTTTGGCCCTAATCCATCAGGTTCTTCAATTCTGTCGTCATCTAAGGAGTCCGTTGAGGACATAGATACTTGCTTCTTCAGTCTTGGCCTCTCCTTGGTCCGATCCTGGCGGCGGCGGCGGCAGCCATTATCCGTCAGGCCAGTCCCCTCAGCACTGTTGTTGCTACCAGCTGAGCTGGTACTGCAAGTGCGGTAGCGGTTCCTTCGTTTGTCTGAGCGTGAGTAGCGTTTTGCAGAACCTGGCTTTCCCTGGACCAGGTCATCACTTACTTTCTTCACTCCCTCCCCCTTTTCAATTCTCTTTCCTTTTTCTCCCTTTGCAGCCCTTACTCTGTCACCATTTGGGCTCTTTTCTGTCTCAGCTTTGTCTGGTTTATTCACAATTTCCTCTTTTACAACATTCCCCCTACACTCATCTTCCTCCATTCTCAGTTGTTCTACCTGATTGAGGATTTCTTCTTCATCCACCCGATTAGCTGGTTCTTTGGTAACAGTCTGCAAACGCCGTCCAGGCTGATAGATCTGCAGGTCTGGTTTCTTAGTTCTCTTGATAATTCTTAAACTTCGATCCTCCTGTCCAGCAGTCCTAGGAAAAGACTCTTGTCCCTGATTACTTTCTGTGTCTATAGGACCATTTTGCTGTTGGCTGCCCAGTTCCTTGCAGACATTAATGAGATGGGTACCATTTCCCATGCCAGAAGAATCTCTCTGATTAACAATATCCTTAAATTCCCCACTCCCAGAGGGTTCCCTGATTTTAGGTTTGTTCCTTAGTCGAGAGAGACCAGGCTTATAGATTTCCAGATCTGGACGCCTATTATCTTTGCGCTGCCTGGGCTCTTTCAATTCCTTCATGTTTTCTGTTATGTTGAAAAGAAAGATAGGAAGGAAAAGATAGAAAAATAAAAGAGGGAGAAAAAATGTTATTTGGTTAAACAACAGAAAAGTCAAACAAGAATTACACACATTCTAATACTAATAGTGGTGAACAAGGAAGGACATTTCTGCCAAAGCAGAAATTCTGGGTTTAGAGTATTTGTTCAACAACTGGCAAGGCTAAGAACTTAATTGTGTTAAAGCCACCTACACTTGGGTTAGGGAAATGGGAAAAAAAGAATATATTCTCTGTGTTATCCAATTCATATTCAGGTCCCCAAACTACCTCTTGACTGTCAAAATGAAAAAGCTTTGAACATTTTCACATTAGACTGTTTTTGAACATACTACTAGGGAGGGAAAGAAAGAATATGCATAATAGTCCATAGTCCTGGACATCTCTAGAGAAGAAGTTTACAGCTGGTCTCTGAACTTGACCAGGATAATTCTTCTTTAGGAAACCAACTGCCCAATCACATACCTCCAACAGAAGCAAAAAGGAAGCAGTTCCTTTCACATTCTTCAATTCCATTCATCCTCACCAACTTTCTAACAGCAGTCAGCAGAGTCATGCCAAGTAAATGCTGCTCAGACTACCATCATCAGAATACTGAGACTAACTGCTACTATGATGATGGAATATGAGAATTAAAAAGTTCCATAAGGGAGCCCTCCCTGGACACTGATGCAAGGATTGTGACATGCTATCAAAACACCAAGGACATAGACACTCAAGAGTAAGAGTACAGGACTTTTGAAACCATTCTCCATGTTCCATGAACCTCCTGAATGACAGATAAACAAGTGTATGTTTTCTGTAAGTATCTATTACCTTTATGTATTCATGTACTACAAGTAGCCACTGAACATTTCATCGGGTGACAGGAACCAGTGAGAATACTATGAAGTATTCAAACTGGAATGCTATATAAAATCCTAATACTGCTACAATCACAAATGCAAACAAACTCATAACAGGGATCATATACTCCAGCATTTAACCCCCTTTTTGTAGGTGTAATAAAACGAAGGGGAGAAAGAAACAAACTAACCGGAGTTTAAGATACTGCTTCAGGGGACCAGCAGATGGCATAATGGTCATATCTCTGGATTCCCACATAGTCTACCTGGTACATGCCCATTATCCCAAGAGGAGAACAGAGGCAAAAGGACTGTGGTGTGGCCATCTCCCTTGGTGGGTGATTTCTCGCTCTGTCTCTCTGGCGAGCACACATGCCCAATACCAAAAATCTCTCTCTAAAAAAAAAAAAGAGAGAGAGAGATACTCCTTCAGGGGCCAGCAGGTGGTGTAAGGGTTGCCTTCCATGGGCTTGTGGCTGAAGTCTGAGAAATTGGTCTTCATTGGTCAACAGAATTGGATTATTCAGGTTGTTTTCTCCCTGTGCTCTGGGAAACAGTAGCTCTTCTACTCCCTCAGGTGAGGGTGAACTGTTGGAGTTAATCCCCCATGACTAGCTTTAGTTCAAGTGCTGGTCCCAGTGACTTGAAAAACACCAAACAAATGTGTGTGAGTGCCCAAAATCCCAAGAGGACAGTAGAGGAAAAGGGACTGCAGAGTGGCCATCCTCCCTGGGGGTGATTTCTCTCTCTCTCTCTCTCTCTCTCTCACTCTCTCTCACTCACTCTCTGGCACGCACACAGCACTTTTTAGCAAAACCTAAAACAAAATTAGTTTTAAAGATACTGTTTCAGTATTTTCCTAAGTTTAAATGACGGCTTCATCATCTATGATCAAAAATAAAGTTGTTTAGCCCCAACAGTTCACCAGTTCTTGTAACTTGAGGGGTGAGGGAGTAGAAGAGCTACTGTTTCTCAGAGCACAGGGAGAAAACAACCTGAATAATCCAACTCTGTTGACCAATGAAGACCAATTTCACAGACTTCAGCCACAAGCCCATGGAAGGCAACCCTCACAGCTACCACCATTCTACACACCTCTAATGCCTAACAATATTTTTTGGAGGTGGCCTGCTGTGACTGGAGACGTGAAATTAACTTGCAAATTGGGCATCCTCTATTATAAAACAAAACAAAACTAAACTTCCACACACGTCAAGGCCAAACCAGAACAGAGTCAGCTCTCTGAGGTCCTGGAGCGCTCACAGTGGCGCAGCTTTCAGAAGCCTGCCTTGGGGGGAAAAGTTCAGCAAGGAAGTTCCAGGCTGTTACATCTTTTCTCCTCAGTTCCCCCAGTTCCTTCTCTCCGAAGCTTAACAGATGACAGAGGTCAAGCCTGAAGATTCCTTTGGGAACGATATACCCCGGGGCCTCCCCCACATCGCAGCACCCAACCCCCGTGTCTCCAGAGTCCACCGGCTGCTCGGTAAAGGGGAACAGTCACCTTCGTGGTATAAAAAGGAGGTGGAGGCAGAAACCAGGGCCGTGCTCTTCCAAAAGGGCCAAAGCTGACTGAGCCCGACCCCACAATGGCCCTCAGTCCTGTGGGGCGACAAGGGGACCCTCCGCGGCCCCCGCCCCCACTGTTGGGGGAAGGGGCGGGGGCTCCGAAGCACCGCGGACCAAGCTGGGAGGAGGCAGAGGAGAGGGAGGCGGGGCGGGAGGCCCGGCCCAGCAGCTGGGCGGTGCGACTCACCTCTGCTCCCGGCCTGTGGAGCCAGAGTGGCCAGGATCCCTCGCAGCTCCGACGCGGAGATCCGCACACGCTCCAACCCCTCCGCCATCTTCGCGGCTGCTGCTACAGCTGCAGCTACTCCGCCACCGCCGCGCGCAGCCAGGAAACCACGACGGACGGGCGGCGCGCGCGCTCACCCACCTCCCACCCTTTTCTCCGCCCCCTCTCCCTTTCCCTCCCCAAACGACGGTGGCCGCACTGGGAGGAAAAGTGCCGGTCGCACGTTCTCAGGAGGCCGGGCGGGAGCGCGAGCCTAGGCGGGAGAGGCGGGGGCCGGGCGTGCGCAGAGGTGTTGCGAGCTGAAGTGAGCTGGGGCTCGAGTAGGAGGCGCGGCGCTTGTGAGGTGAGGCGAGGCGAGTCCGGGCCAAGCCGGGTCAGGCGGGCGTTGGCGGCGGTGATTGCCCTTGGGGCTGTGGTTGCCGCCGAGGACGCTGGTGCTAGTCTCAAGTCGGTTTGACGAAGGCACCCCACCATGCGGGCCCAGTCAGTCATCTTAGGCCGGTGTCTTCTGCACAGGCCCGGACTGATGCCCACGCTCTCGGGCTCTTACTGGGACCTTGAAGAGACTATAACCGCATTTACCTTGAAAATTAGGGCGCTGAATCCTAGCGAACTGAAATACATTGCCCAAGGTGACCACAGTTGAGTAGTACCATAATATCAAAGTCTTTTTCCTTAGGGCAAAGTATATCCCCAAGTCTCTTGTTTTTTTTTAAATATCTATATAATATAAAGTTGGCTCTCGCTGAGGGAGGGGGGTTATGTGGAAGTAAATCTGGTGTTTTAAGTCATTTGAGAATTTCTGTGTCACTAGATTCTTGAAAAATGTATCTCCCTGGGTCTCAAGTTGACTCCCCCCCCCCAGTCTTTATAATTTAAATGAATCAGAAGGTAGGTACTTTAACATATTCTTTGTTCATGAACCCTGTTAAGATCAGTGTTGTGATGAAACTCCCAGAAGGCTGCCTGCCTCCACCTGATGCTCCACCCCAGGCAATCCCGTGCACCTCTAAACCATCAAAGAATAGTTAACAAATTATACATTCGTCTGTGCCTAAAATATTTGAACAATCTTTGGCTATTCAATGTCAACTACAGGGGAAACACTTTGCCACCAAGTTAAGCATAGGCAGTGAATAATGTGAAAAGATTCAGTAATTCAAAGGGGAGTGATTTGAGTGATCAGAGCAAATGATAATCTGCCAACAGATTTGAGAGAAATAGGAAAAGATGTTAAAAACGAATTCATTTTCACATTGAAATTTGTGAGGATGTTGCATCATTTTTTTTTTATAAAAGAGGAAAAGTAATCTGAAACAAAAATGTTTCAGGACAAACATGATTATCAATTTAATGAACAATAACAAAAAGAAATTTAATGCAATAGTAGTGTCAGTGGACTAAACATTAGATATGCCAAAAGTTAAACTCAAGAAAATTTACCAGAACTCTGAGGGAAGAGATAAGATTGAAAAAAGTGAGAGGAAAGAATGGGTTCAAAAAACATATAATTGGGAACCAGCAGTTGGCATAATGGCTATGTCGCTGGACTCCCCCACATAGTCGACTGCGGTTTGCGTCCTGGACCGAGTGGCTTAAAACTCACGCCGGGCGCGTGTGCGTGCGTGCCCAAGATCCGGAGAGGAGAATGGAGGAGAAGGGATTGCGGCGTGACCATCCCCCCTGGGGGGTGATTTCTCGCTTTCTGTCTCTCTGTCTGTCTAACGCGCACACGCCCTATAGCGAAAACCTCTCAAACCCTATAACAAAAACCTATCAAAAAAAAAAAAAAAACATATAATTAAATATGAGTTCAAGAAAGTGAATAAGAAGAACTGATTGAAGATTATGAAACAATAAAAGAAAATTAAATAGTTAATGGAAAAATGTTAATTCTCAGATTTAAGACCTTCATGAAACACCAGTTAAAAAGAAATGAAAAGACAACCAAACCATCATACTTAGATCTGTATCACAAGGAAAGCTCGAGTTTAAAAAAAGTTAAAATATCTTCATATATTGATACGGAACAGTCTTTAAGTTGTATTGTACTTTTTTTTTTTTTTTTTTTTAAGCCAGTTCCAGATCCATATTAGGGGACTTCAGAAAGTAGTTCCAGAACCATATTAGGGGACTTCAGAAAGTTCACGGAGGGCTAGTCCATGGCATGGTGGTTGGGGGTGGCTGCATCCCATATGGCCAACTATGTGCTTTGAGTCCTGGACTCAGTGGCTTGAAAGACCCACTGGGTGTGTGTGCATGTATGCCCAAAATCCAAAAGGAAAAAAAAAATGAAGGAGAAGGGGTTTCAGGGTAATCATGCCCCACGGGAGGTACTTTCTCACTTACCTCTCGCTTCTCTAGCTAGCACACAGGCACTCTGGCAAAAAAAAAAAAATTAAGTTGGTGGGAAATTGAATTTAAAGTTCAAGTTTATTTGGTTGCAAAGAATTTTGAAATCCATGTATAGTTTTTCATAATGTACATTCTCCATGAACTTTTGAAGACCCCCTCACATATATATATATAGAATGGTTCTATGTGCAGCAAAATTATTTATTGTATATGTAAATTTCTATATAAATACATCACAAAAAGTGTGAAAGAATATACTATACTTTTACTTTTGTGGAGGAGAGGAAATTTAAAAAGTGAAGGCTCTATATACATTCTTCTGTAATGTTTTAAATTCTAAAGTGTAGGGATTTGGTTACATATCATGTAAGTAATCCAAAAAACAAGCAAATTGGGATAATGAAGTAGGGAAGAAGAATTCAGTATCTGAGAATAAAAATTGTACAGGTTGTGTTTGCTGAACACAAAGTAATAAGTAGAAATTAACAAAATAAAACAAAATTTGAAATAACTCATGGGTTAGAGAGAAAATCAGACTAAGGTCAGTTTCTTTAGAAATTAGGATAAAAATATTACATAATAGAACCTGTGATCTATCATTAAAGCAGTAAAGTCAGAAGGGGCCAACAGGTGGCGTGGTTAAGGCACTGGATTCCCACATGACTGACCACAGTTCAAGTCCTGAACCTGGTGGCTTGAAAATCACGCCAGATGCATGTGTGTATGTGCCCATAATCCCAGGAGAAGAGTAAAGGAGAAAGGATTGTGGTGTGGCCATCCCCCATGGGGTGGGGGGTGATTTCTCACTTTCCTTTTCATTCTGTCCCTGTCTCTGGTAAAATGCACTTGGCTCTATGGCAAAAATCTTTAGAAAAAAAAAAGATAAAACCAGAAATTAATAAGGAAAAAAATAACAGTACTTGATAAATAAATTGAAGAGCTCATTCTTCCAAAATAAAATAGACATTTCTGGCAAAACATAATTATGGGGGAAAAAAAGACATCCTCTTGGATGTCTCATAAGCAATTCAAACTTAGCTCATAAAATCTCTAGTTTTCTCCTAAAATACTTCTTCCTTTGCCAGTCTCAAATCTGAATAAATTATATCACTATCTAATTAAAAATCCAGGCGTAATCCTTGACTTCTTCACTCCCACAATTAATTTACAATCAGGATATGTCTCTTCTATCTAGATTGTGAACATTTAAGAAATCATCTCCCCAGCATTCTCCCTTTTACTTTTCCTTGAAAACTGCCTTTTACTCACACGCAGAAATACTTTTCCTTTATCCTTTTTTCGTCTTTTCCTCTATCACTTCCTTCTTTTGATGCTATTTTTCCCACCAGGTGCAGAGAATTGAGCCAATCATTCCATTTAATTCACACTGTAAAAGACAAGGCCTATCTCCTTTCCTATTTTTTCCCCTTCATTCCAATTCCCACTCGGTTTTTTTTTTTGTTTTTTTTTTTCTTCACTAAAATTACTTATTTAGAGGAGAAGGGCTTGTGGCATGGCCATCCCTGCTGTCGGGTGATTTTCTCGCTTTGTCTCTCTGTCTCTGTCTGTCTGGCGAACACACACACCCTATAACAAAAACCTCTCCCAAAAAATAAAGTAATAAAATAAAATTATTTATTTATTGTTGTTTTTTAATTTGACCAGAGAGAGCAGGAAAGTAAGCCGCCAGATCCAGGACTCAAACTGTGGTCAGTTATGTGGAATCCAGCGCCTTAACCACCACACCACCTGCTGCTCCCCCCACTCATGTTTCTACCCTCATTTCTTAGGTAGTGACTCTAATATGTTTGCTATATGTCCATAAGTATACATTTATCTTTGAATAGTAAATAGTGTTTTATGTATGTGTGTGTGTTAAATGTACATAATCAATATTGTGTTATAGATTTCATTCTGTTTCTCTTTCATGTTTCTGTAAATCCTTTGTTGCATAGTATTGTCTTAAATGACTTCACACCCCTGGTATCTGGTCCTGGGCCAAGATGGGCCAAGTCAGTCCTTATCCAGAATTTTTTGAACTGAAATTGAGAAAGAAAATCCCTCTTCACTGTGGAAGCCATAAAATGTAAAACACAGGAGCTGTCAGCAGCCATGTGTCCTGCCATGTGGAATCAGCTGATCTGCAATGAAAAAGAAGCCAACATGCAGAAAGCAACAGAGGTGAGAAACTAAGAGGGTACTGGAAGCTCCGAAGTCCCAGATTCCAGTTGTTCCCCAAGCTTGATATTCCTGTCATTCCTATGCTTTGTTCAATTCTTCCTTGGATTCTATGAGCCAGTAAATTGCACCTTCATCTTCTGCCTAAACTAATTCAGACTGGGGTTCTATCACTTATAACCAGGAGGTCTAACTAATTATAAGCTCAAATATATATCTTTTGTATGTGTGTATGTGTGTGTTAAATGGGGTAAAATACACATAAAAGTTACCATTTTAACTATTTTTAAGTATACAATTTATTAATAAGTATATTTAACATTGTTGTGCAACAAATCTCCCAAATGCTATACCCATTAAAATTAAAAACTCCTAACCCCTGGCAATCACCCTTCTACCTTCTGTTTATCAATTTCACTACTCTAGGGATCTCGTATCAGTGGAATCATGCAGTATTTGTCTTTTTGGAACTAGCTTATTTCACTTAACTTGATGTCCTCAGTATTCATTTATGTTCTAGCATGTGTCAGAATTTTCTCCTTAAGTTTGAATAAGATTACATTATATGTACATACCACATTATGTATATTTATTCATCTGTCCATAGACATTTGAATTGTTTCCACCTTTTAGATATTGTGAATAATGCAGTTATGAATATGGGTGTACAAATATCTTCTCCAGACCCTGCTGTCAATTCTTTTGGGTCTACATCTTGGATTGGAATTGCTGGATCATATGATAATTCTATGTTGTTTTTTTTTGTTTGTTTTTGTTTGTTTTTTTGGTCCTAAGGCACATGTGCTCACTAGAGAGGCAGACAGTGAAAGGAAAAGTGAGAAATCATCCTTCAAGTGGATGACTGCACCACAGTTCCTTCTTTCTCCTCCTAGGATTTTGGGCACATAGGCATGCACGCCTGGTCTGAGTTTCAAGCTGCTGAGTCTGGGATCCAAACCACAGTTGGTCCAGTACCTTAACAACCACGCCACCTGCTGGACCCCCATGTTTCATTTTTAAAGGAGTTACAATACTGTTTACCATAGCAACTGCACCATTTTACACTCCTACCAATGAAACACAAGGGTTCAAATTTCTCCGCACCCTGTCAATATATTTTTTTTGTAGGTTTTTTGTTTTATTGACAGTAGCCATCCTGATGGGCATACGGTGGTAGCTCGTTGTGGTTTTGATTTGCATTTCTCTAATGATGAGTGGTGTTAAGCATCTTTACTCATTTTTTTTTTCCTTATGCCAGAGAGCACATGCATTCACCAGAGAGAGACAGAGGATAAAGCACCCACATGGGGAATGATCACACTGTAATCCCTTTTTCTCCATCTCTTCTTCCTTTTGAGATTTTTGGCACTTGCACACGCACTCCTCCTTCCCCTCTTCCCCCCATGTTTCTCATGCTGCCTGGTGTAGGACTTGAACCACCAGGTGGTTGACCATGTGGTCTAAAACTTGAGCCACATGGATGGCCATGTAGGGTCCAGCTGCATTAACCACTAAGCCATGGAGTCTACCCAGCCATATTTTCATAAGCTTATTGACCATTTATATATTTTTGGAGAACTTCTTTTTGTTTTAATAGGCAGATGGCTTTTTTTCCCCTTTATTCATGATAGAGTGCATGGACATGCACACGAGAGAAAAAGAAACAAAGATATGAGTATCCATAGTGTCTAGTTATATTGTGATCCTCTTCTTCCAGTTCTTTAGTTTGTCAGGTCATGAGTACTGGTGCCAATGCCTGGCATGCCTCAGGCTGACCAGGTTGGGGATTCCAACCATAGTTGCCATGTGGGATATGGCTTCTCCTTGAGCAGCACATTATTACAGTTACAGCTTGGAAAGAGTCCTAGAGAAATTTCAATTCAAGTTCTTTGCCCACTTTATAATTGGTTTTATTTTTCTAAAATATATCTTGAACAATTTGTTTCTTTCTCTGCTTTTGCCACCCAAATTCCCTTTAGCTTTATGTACAAATTAAATAACTAACTGGACTCTGAATCCCATTTTTATTCCCTTTTTTACATTCACTGGAATGTAACCAGAATGATTTTCTATAAATATGAATTTCAGCATGGCTCTTACATGTTCAGTATTCTTTTTTTAAAAAAATTAATTTTTTATTTTATTTATTCATTCATTTATTTCTTAATTTGACCAGAGAGAGACAGAGAGTGAGAGAGACAGGAAGTGAGAAAGCAAGCCACCAGATTCAGGACTTGAACCTGCTGGTCCCCTCATGTTCAGTATTCCAAAGTGACATTTTATTACTCTTTTTTTATGAGGTTTTTGCTATACGGCACATGCGCTCACTAGAAAGACAGAGAGAGACAGAAAGACCAAAAGCAAGAAATCACCCCCCCCTAGGGGGGATGGCCACACCACAGTCCCTTCTCCTCCATTCCCCTCTTGGGATCTTGGGCACATACACACGTGCACGCGCACACACGGCGTGAGTTTAAGCCGCCAGGTCCAGGACTCGAACCATAGTCGACTACATGGAAGTCCAGTGACGTAGCCATTACACTAACTGCTGGTCCCTAA